CTGCCTTACCAAAGCTTTCTCCTTTTCTTGTGACATTTCCCAGTTCCCATTAAAGCCCAGCCAGAATAGTCACAATATATAGGAATGACAATTTTGCAGACCACCCCTCCAACCCATGTGAAGAAGTTCGTTTGTTATGTGCTCAATATGATGATAGCATCTACTTAGTTAGGTTAAGTAGGTGCTTAGTTGCAGGGACAGTTGACGCAAATGTTTGAACAGCCATAGAACTTTTGTGCAATGGGAACCTAAAAAGCAACCATCAGATATTCACCTTTTCAATGTCTGCCAACAGCAAAATCTTCCGTTTATAAATCCACATCCACACCATACATCAATCCCTATCATCCACATTGAACTGTGACAAAACTAGATAGGGAATAAGACGTCAAAGTTCTTTAAGATATCCTTTGCTGTCAGATTAGCCCAAATCCCAATATCTTTATGCAACAATCCCATAAACCAAAAGAGCTCAGCACTGATTCAAATGTTGATTTTGAAGTGAGTGTAAAGAAACATATGGAAGATAGTAATCTTAACTACAATACGATAGAATCTGATGAGCAAAGGTTACACCTGGAGTAAGATTGAAGTTCAATGAACATGGACTTGTTGGCCCATTTTCTCAATGAATTCAGAAGAAATATTTGGGGGAAAAGTGTAGTGCTTGCTTTGCTTCCCAAAGGTCAGAGCTATTTCTTTTCTCTAAAGATTTAATCTTCCTGTTCAACCCCACCAGCATAAGTTCTGTTTGTATCAGTAGTACTTGCCATGGTGAGGAACTTTGAGGATCAAATCTTCAACTTTTCTGGCTCCATTCTAATGCTGCTGTGCCTGCTGCCATTCTTATTTGTGTTGTAAACAAGGTTTTAATTGAAAATATATTTGTCAATACATTTCACACTGTATTATTTTGCACACACCTAGCCATCGTTTTAGTTAAAACTCATAATTTATCCAACGAAAATGAACACTAGCACGAGAGTTGTCACCCTTCCTCATCTCCAACAAACAAAAGTTCTTGATTAAAACAATATGATAATGTGGCAAATTAAGCATGTCTTTGGACTTATGTGCAAAAACCCGATGGGGAGGGGCTAGAAACCAGTTGAGAGAATATTTTCTTTTAAATTCCATGCTTTGCCACCATTTCTCATGGACTGCATTTTCAAAGGCATTGATGCATTTTTGGAAACGTCCAACTTGCACGTTCTTTGGTGTCTTTCTGCTCAGCTTACCATGCACGCAAAAGAAGCCTGTTTCCACGCATGCATTAAGGGCAGACTGTGCCAGATTTGGGTGCATACAGTATTGTACACACACACACATCCCCGCCCAAAAAAAAAGACAGTTTTGCTTTTGTGTGCTTTCTAAATGGTGACCTAACCAACTTAGATCCCCTGGTGTGCATGGTGTCCATTCTATGCTTAGTGGGCAATACATCTCGGTCTCTCAAAGGGTTCCATTCAGCAGAACGCATCGATGGCTTTGTGGGCCTCAGCAATGGTTCCGTTGAGCACGTTCTTCATGATACGGCATGTGACTTCTCAGCAGCACTGCCTGCATCCCACCTTCCAGAGGAAATATCTGCAAAAAGTGGCTGTGGCTGCTGGAGAAAGGAGGTGGGGGTGGGGGGAGTTTGCACGTGAAATAACCTGTTTAGAAGATGGGGTCCAGGGAGGATGTATATGGGTATATATATTCCGAGTACCAATTTGGAAAGGACCTTTCTGGCAGGGCTGCTTCCTGACTATCCTCACGCTTTTGTGCCAAAGGAGATCCGTCGGTGGGTCCCAGATAATTTGGACCAACCTAGCAGCTTTCTTCAAAGAACGGATGGAGACAATCCCCAAGTCTCTGTCTTTAGGCCCTTGATATGAGGAAGGGAGGCAGAAGCAAGCACTAGATGGGATTTCAAAATGCTGCTGCTTTTCTTCGCATCTTTTGTTGATTTCCCCGAACTTGCTGCAAGTTGCAAGCACTGTGTCTTCCCTAACCTCTCCAGCACTTCTGTGCCATTATTGGTGCATGCAAGCCCATGCACACTTGTAATGATGCTGACTTGCTTCTCTCTGCTCATTTCTACACACACTTCCATACCCTTATGCCTCTAAAACACCCTTCTGTAGTTTAGTCCAAATGTACACAACCAACTGAATAGGGTGGTAGAGTCCTACAATGGTAGAATGAGCTCTACAGCTTTAACCTGTAAGTAAAAGAGATCTTTGCTTCACCCAGTTGGGAGTAAAGACAGATAGGGAAGTGCCTTTTCCCAGCCATGTTGTTTGTCATGGCATTTGCTGTTTTGTTTTGGTGGCAACTGAGAGGAATTCAGGCATGGAGCATTTCTTTCCACTCATTTCTGTCTGGCAGGGATCTTCCCAGTGTTTCTAGTTCTCCTTTAACTGGAAATTCAGAGAATAAAACCTTTGGGAGCTCTTGCATAAAATGTCTGTGCTCTGTCATCGAGCAAAGGCTCTTGATCAACTCAATTGGTCCTCTTCCTGCAGGTTTTTCTTTTATTTCATTAGGCAGACATGTAAAAAAAAACCACTTACAGAATAAGGTGGCATTGTCTGCTCTACTACTTTGGATCTCTACCATCTGATTCTGTTGAATGTGTAGATGAGGATGACCAACCTTGGCAACTTTAAGGCCTGTGGACTTCAACTCCCAGGATTCTGCAGCTAGCCAGCTCCTAGAATTCTGGGAGTTGCCATGTCCACAAGTCTTAATGTTGCCAAGGATGGACAGCCCCACTATAGATACAGCCCAAAAGGTAGCCTTGGACGTTTTACATCTGCCCTCTTTTTCATCCCAATTGTGTGGTTCTGCAAAGCTTGAAGGGGCCATCAGTGAAAGGATGGCATTGGGTGTTCCACATCCCATTTGAACAGAAAGTTTATCTTTCCTTTAGCCATATCTCAGATCTGGAGATTATGGTTCAGATAAGCTACCAAATCCCTTAAAACAACTAAACCATTAATCTAACGATTGAGTGAATTCAATTGGTGTAAGATTACATTATGATGGTGACTTAAATGTTAATTACAGCTGGTAACTAGAACAGCCAAGAACCAATTTGATTCTGAAGTACAAAGTGAGTCAGGAAAGCTCCTTTCATTTTGGGAGCATCTCTCTTTCCAAGAGTCATTGTAAAATCCAGTGAGCGAGAAAGCTTAATAAAACTGCCCATTGAAACTCAAAAAAAAACACCAAACAAACAGCTGCCACACCACTGAACTGTTTTTTGTTGTTGTTTTCAATTGTAACAAAATGATATTTCTCTGTCTCACTAGGATGTTCTATGTATGTGTCCTGTTCCCTTTTCAAAACCCCTTTTTGAATTTCTGCGCGATTCTCTCCAGTAGCAATCTCTCTGGTATTTCAGGAAAAAGGGAATTTATTCATAATTTCATTTCCTGTTGCTTATTGTTTCTGTGCATGCTGCTGCATTTTCATAGCCCCTTGTTTATACGGTCCCTTTCTTTTGAAGGTTTTGTTTTTATTTATTGTTTACCTTCATATGTTCTTTTTCCTGTCTTCTGCACCTTCCTCTTTATTTCTGTCCCTAACCATCTGAAAGTTTGCTAAAGAGTGGGTAAGTGTGTCCTTACATTTTGTTTTCTTTTCTTCCAAGTTCCTGTTGTAGAATGTGATTGTTCCATTGGAAAAAAAAAAAAAGCAAACACTGAGCAGCTCAAACTAGCAAAAGAACTTTAGTCAATTCTAAGGGACCAAGGTCTGACACGTCTAATTGCCCCTCACACTCCTTTGTTCCCTAAAGCGCAATTCAGTATTTACCTCAGATCTGTCTATTCCAATGCTTTTTTTGTTTTGGTTGGATTCTTTTTTTTTTTTTTTTTGTATTTTAGATTTCTTTTTGCTTGTATATTAACATTTTAAAATAACATTAGCACAAACAAGTGGCAATAAATACAGTGACTAAGATCGGCACTTTCAATGTTTTATTTAATGTGGGGGAGAGGCGATGTGGAAGAAAATTGTCGTATATTAAATATTTTGTCTGTTCTTGGCAAAACAATAGTGTTTGTTTAGTCACCCAAAGACATTATTTTTTTGAGAAAAAGGAAGTGTGTTTATTACAAATTAGCTGAAAATGTTCTTATCTTCCTTGAAAAACAACTCAGAACAAAGTAAGTTTGATCTGGTCAGTATTTGGGGGGAGGAACTGAGTGGGGGGAGGAACTCTGTGTAGAAAGTGATGTGGATGTTTTGTTGGTGTCAATCTTTTCTCTGAGTTGGCATTGACCAAAGGCCCCAGCATGATCTAACTGGAGGGGTCCCAGTGCTGCACTTGCCATCCTTTGCATGACTCAGAACACCCATGTTTCAATCATTGTTACACTTGATCATAAAGGCCCCAATTCATACATGAATTGGAACGCTACATACCTATCTAATTCCTTTTCCAAAAGATAGATTCTAAATTTTGCTTCCAGTCATTCATACTCGATGGCTCTACATACTGAAGCTTCTCTGCTTCAATGTCACTCATCTATAGGTTTCCTCTGACTGACAACAGCTTAGCTCTGCACCCCAAAACAGCTGCCGTTGTGCTAGCCAGTGTTGAGCTGTATTTCAAGTTGTTCTTTCAGACCTACAGAATGAGCATCTTAAACATAAACTGTAAACAACAGATGTAATATGCTCTTTTTACCGCTGGCGCTCCTTTATTTTCATGATTTACGTATAGCAAAGAGATGCTAGACATTTATCCTGCATGCATTTGATTCTCCTTAATGTTGGCTCAGCTGCATGCATGGAGTCAAAATTAGGATTTGACCAACATTCACAAATTCCTGTCAGAGGCTCCTTAGTCAAAGGTATTGTGTATATGTTTATTCATTACTGGCCACTACATTAGAACACAACATTCAAGTACCATAGTCAATATCTACAATAAAAGTAAATAACTGTGTGTATTGCAATTGATTTACACTAATAATATTTTACTTCCATTCTTCTTCCATCCATAGCACCAGTACCATTCAAAAATAGATGAACTAATTGAAGAAACCGTCAAAGAAATGATCACACTCCTTGTAGCAAAGGTAACATTCAACCTCAAATGAAGGGAATTGTGGTTAATATTATCTTTTAAAGGGAATACATACATTCCCATACAAATGTGACACATTAAGACAATTAGGTGATTTGTTGTTTGTCATGAAATAAATCTAACACCACTTAGTCTTGATAGATTGAATGTCTCATGATTGTAAACGTTTTACAATTCTGGAAGAAGTTTTATTTGAGATTTCTCCACTCACCCAAATATTATGGTTCTTGAGGCAGTGTTGCTGACTTTATTCACTTTTACTTTCAGTATTTTTAAACTTTCATTCTGTAGTTGTCAGGTGTCTTTTCAAAAAACTTTAGCAAAAGTATTTGCTTAAGAAAGTTTGCTTTTTTTACCACTTCCTTTAAGATGGAAACAAATCCCTTCCCATAAGAAGACATTTGTTAATCATAGAGCCACTTAGACTGATTCAATCAGTCAGAAAAATCAATAGAAATTGCAAGCCATAGAGAATCCTATATTTGAAATGGGAAGGTATATAAATTGAAATGTTAAATAAATAAATTTGAAAATTTGTAGATTTCACCTCTTTGGGCATCTCATCCATGTTCTCAAGATCCACTATTAGTGCCCTTCAAAATATTATTTATGATTTTTAAGATTTAGTGTATCTTTTTATTTAGTGGATTAAGAGTATATATTCTAGTGTATTGTAGTGTATGTATATTTTATTGGCTTGGACCATTTTGTGATATATGTATAATTTTTGTTCCTCTTACTTATTCATCCCAAGTACTTGGTAATTCTGTCACAAATTTCATCTTGTCACATTAGGAAATGGGCCTGGTGTAAATGCTAAGATATTCTAAAACAAAGCATTCTTTATACTCCTTGTGAATCTTTAATACATTTATTAAAGCCATCAAAGAGGAATGCTTGATGAACATCTCCCTAATTCAGACCTAGACATTTGCCATACAAGTTTATAAATTCTGCCATTGTGGCTGCACTTAATGGAAATCATTTGGGGGAGAAAGGTAAAGAGGTTCTAGGAAATCAACATATGTAAGGCTACTACAACCATCTGTAAAGCAGAAGGTAGGTATTATATCAGCAATGGCATATACTAATACTACCGATAAAGGAAAATATTTGTAGCTCAGGATTGAACTGCGGGGTCCTTGATATTCTCAGAGTTTGGTTGTTTTCCTGCAGACATTTCATTACCCAAACTAGAGTTTCACTGATGGTGTTACCTACAGTAGTTTGGATAATGAAATGTCTGCAAGGAAACAACCAAGCTCAGAGAGTACCAAGGACCCCTCATATACTAATTCTAATTCCAATCAGGAATTATTACTGGGAAAAACCATTGCTTGCAAAAAAAAAATTATACTTGCAGGTATAATAATCAGTCATGACAAGCCTATTTATTTACATCAATGCTTTGTTTTAAAGTTTAAAAAATGTTATTTACTTTGTTTATAAGTATAAATCTCATAAACAAGAAGTTATTACCATGTTGTCCTCTTCAAAGTCTGTTTGAAGTAATAGTTAATTTATGTACACTTGAACTGATGCCAAAAAAATCAGGGGATGACTGTCCTTTGTTCATTTTATAAAGTCATTCCATGATATGAAACTATTATTGAAGGTCAATTAAATAATCTTAAGTAATAAATGCCAGAAGGCCAGAATAATGAATAAGTTCCTTTAATAAGGACATCTTTTGGCTTCTCTTTTGAAATCGATTACTCTATTAATTACAGAAAGAGTTTTTTTTTAAAAAAAAAAAATCTAAGTGTATCAGTTAACATCCATTTGAGCACTTGTCCTATTTAGAAGACTGAGGGTAGAGTTATAAAATCCCATTTATACCAACAGTCCGCTGACTTCCTCAGCTGTCATGCTTTGATGAAGAAGAGCTTCTTGTCGTGTGTGTGTGTGTGTGTGTGTGTGTGTGTGTGTGTTTGCAAGCACGTGTGCGACATGAGACAGAGCCCTTCTTATTTGGGATTTATTTCTGTTCTCTCTGCTTGAAATTTTCTTCAGTTTGTCACTATCCTGGAAGGTGTGCTGGCCAAGCTATCAAGATACGATGAAGGGACCTTGTTTTCTTCTTTCCTCTCATTTACTGTAAGTTGTTTTGCTGCCACTTAAAGAGTTAGAATAACTTGGAGCATCCTGAAAATCTTTCCTTGTTATTTCCTGACCTGTCTGGGACTATATAGGGACCGAAATACAGGCAGTCCTCGACTTAACGGCCACAATGGAGCCCAAAATGTCTTATTGGTAAGCGAGGCAGTTGTTAAATGAGTTCTGCCCCATTTTATGACCTTTCTTGCCCTGGTTGTTAAGTGAATTACTGAAGTTCGTAAGCTAGTGACACAGTTATTAAGTGAACCTGGCTTCCCCATTGACTTTGCTTCTCAGAAGGTTGCAAAAGGGGATCACGCAACCAAGAGACACTGTAACATAAATATGAACCAGTTGCCCAATATTCAAATTTTGGTCATGGGGATGCTACAAAGTCATAAGTGTGAAAAATGGTCATAAGTCACTTTTTTCAGTCACTAAAGGAAGAGTTGTACATTTATACGACAGAGGAGAACACTTAGGGAGCTTAGGTGAAATTGGAATAGTAGCCATTGTTGATCTCCAACAGCTACTGCCTGAAGTGGGTGCCTCATAGCAGACTCTGCCCTAATTATTAATGCTGCATGATAAAGAGGAGGGGGTTATATTTGGCAAAAGAAAAATATTTGGAGTACATATAGCAATAGCAATAGCACTTAGACTAATATACCACTTCAGAGTGCTTTACAACCCTGTCTAAGCAGTTTACAGAGCTAGCCTATTGCCTCCAACAATTTGGGTCCTCATTTTACCCACCTCGGAAGGATGGAGAGCTGAGTCAACCTTGAACCACTCAGAATCGAACTGCTGGCAATGGCCAGAATTAGCCTGTCATACTGCATTCTAACCACTGCACTACCATGGCTCTTGTGTGACTTGGCAAAGTTAAAAAATTGGATCGTAGGGGATGCAGGATGAGAAAGAAAACAGAAAACAAGAAGAATTGTTTGAAAGTCATGAGGGAAAGAGCCAAACAACCAAGAATTCAAGAGCTATGAATGGGGTTTTATGTGGTGCATTAGATATAGTTGGATGGTGTACAGGTAGTCCATGGCATACCACCTCAACTGAACCCAAAATTTCCATTGCTAAGTGAGGCAGTTGTTAAGTGAGTTGCACCTCATTTTACAACCTTTTTGCCATAGTTGTTAAGCAAACTATTAAGGGAATCATGCAGTCATGAAATGAACCTGGCTTCCCCCGTTGTTTGAAGCCAACTAAGAAGGTTACAAATGGTGATCACATGATCCCAGGACACTGCAACCATCATAAATACATGTCAGTTGCCAGGAGCCCAAATTCTGATCATGTGACCATGGGATGCTGCAGTGGTCATATGTGTGAGAATTGGTCATAAGACACTTTTCTCAGTGCTGTAGTAATAGATTACAGATATTCAGAGTTGGAAGGGACCTTATAGGTCATCTAGTCCAACCCCCTCAAGCCAGAGACCCTACACCATTTCTGACAAATGGCAGTCCAATTTCTTCTTGAAAGCCTCCAGTGATGGCGCTCCCACAACTTCCGAGGGCAAGCTGTTCCATTGGTTGATTGTTCTCACTGTCAGAAAGTTTCTCCTTATTTCCAGGTTAAATCTCTCCTTGTTCAGTTTCCAGTCACTTTGAGCAGTCACTAAGCAAATGGTTGCAAGTCAAGGATATTGTGTGTCTGCATGTCTCCAGGAGGGAGGGAGGGAGGGAGGGAGGGAGGGAGGGAGGGAGGGAGGAAGGAAGGAAGGAAGGAAGGAAGGAAGGAAGGAAGGAAGGAAGGAAGGAAGGAAGGAAGGAAGGAAGGAAGGAAGGAAGGAAGGAAGATTTATAAAATTGTTCCAGCATAACTAAAAGCCACAAGGTTGGGAAAGATGTAACAGAGCCTTTATTTTACCTTACATTATATAGTAATTAATTTGGAGTCTTTATTAGCTGCCTTTCAAGATACATTTTAAACTGCTTTAAAATACAGCTAAAAGAAGCAGTCAAGGTGAAAAATAACACTCCATTAAATCTGGCAAAACCAACATTTCTTCATTGCTGCAGTGCATACTATCACAGAGAATTTTGCACAGAAAAAAATAGAGCCACATACACTCATTCAAACTTATTTCAAATTAATCCAGCCATTATCTTAGAACTTCTGCCCACAGCAAGGGAAAATTGCAACTTAATTTTTGAAACTAATCCAAGTGGTCTTAGGAAGAGCATCTGCTGCTATTTCCTTCTCTGCATGTCAGCTATGTTTGATTAAGAAAACAAAACGGCTGTTGAATAATTTATTTCCGAAGTCCCAGGAAAAAAGTTGGGTCCAATTTTTCAAGCTAAGAGGTACAGCTTGCATGCCCATTCTCAGCTTCTGGTTCCTCTGTTCTGTTCTTTTGCACAAAGAAATAAAAATAGAATGTCTATGAAGACACCAGAATGTCTAAAGATTCTCAGTCATCCAGGTCATACTTTCTTGTTTTTTTTGAAGATGATTTGCTTCTCATCCAAAAAGCTTTTTCAGCCCAGTTGCCTCTTGAAAAAGCACCTTTGGGATCAACATCAGAACAAGAATAGATATTTTACTACTGTCACTGGAAGCTCCCATTGCTGCATTTCACATAATCATAAAACTACATTTACAGATTAACAGAGTTGGAAGGGACCTTGTAGGTCATCTAGTCCAACCCCCTGCCCAAGCAGACCCTACATCATTTCTGACAGGTGACTATCCAGTCTCTTCTTGAAGGCTTCCAATCATGAAGCTCCCATAACTTCTGAAGGCAAAGCTGTTCCATTGGTTGATTGTTCTCACTTTCAGAAAATTTCTCCTTGTTTTTAGGTTGAATCTGTCCTTGTTCAGTTTTCACGCATTATTCCTTGTCTGGCCTTCAGGTGATTTGGAAAATAGCTTGACCCCCGTATCTCTCTGCATGGCAGCCCCTCAAATAATTGTTTATTTATATAAGAATTAGTAGACATTTCCACAGAATTAAAAGCAATAAAAATGCAGCTGAAGGAAAAAATATTACCACTTAAAATTAGAAAGTCACCAAGATGACTTTTTGTGACTTTTGTATGTTAAGGAAAGCAACACCAAAAGAAGACCTAATGAACATCAGCCAGCAATTTCATTTCTCCAATTTCAATGTCCAATTTCAATCTGAGTTAGAAAATAATGCATTGGTTGGTTAAGCTTGCTTTTTCTTTGAGACTAGCAGCACGGGATATAGAAGTGCTCCTTTTGAAGGTTTGCAATTAACAGCATCACCTCTACCAACCTATTTTCTCTGGATCCAGTTTCTCCCTCTCTGGTATCACACAGTATTTTCTGAATGGTGACAAATGGATGCCCCAGCATGCTGCAGATAGGTCAATGGAATTTGGAGAACTTCAAACTAGTTCTTAATTCAGGGAGATAATCCAAAAACCTAGGTTGCTTTGGCCTTTGCTGATCAACACAGCAAATACCAATTAGTGTGAGTTGCACAGCCTGACCTTAAATTTCTACATCCAATCATTATGAAGGATTTCTTTTAAGCCGAAATGCAATGCCAAACCAGGAACTTAAAACACTGTTGGCAGACGTGCCTTTAGAAGTTGGGAGCTGCCAGATGCAAGTTCTTGATATCCTAGTTGCTGAAAATCACTGAAATTTTAGAAGCAGTTCCATCCCACATCTTAAGAATGGAAATAACGTAATTATAACCAACATTTTAAGACTGGCTTTTTTATTTTAGCAATTATTTTTTTTTTAAGTTTATGATCATATAACATCAAATACTACAAAAGCAAATAGTGGGAAAAATGGGGAAAGGAAAGGGGAAGGGGAAAAGAAGGGGTGGGAGAAAGAAAAGGCATTGACTCCCAACTCCCTTTGGTGCATCAAACCAAAACTTTTTACTTTTACATATTAATTTAAACTAGTCATTTCTATAACAACAAATCTATCTAATTGGTAAAACCCAAAATCAAATTTTCATTTTTTGGGGGCCTCAAGCACAAAGTCTAGAATTGGTTTCCAAGTAGAAGCAAACATATTTGTGTGGGTTTTTTTCCTGGATCAAAGCAATCAATGTTGAAATGACTCTTACAGGAACATACCTCATCTTTCCTCCCTGAAACAGTATATAAATGCTAATGAATAGTCGTGGTAGTAGATGGGGTTATTGGGATTACTGAGTGGCCAAGGGTGGCTGTGATCCAGCATTCTGGGGTTGCCTGTAGATGTTGTAATTCTTGTAGACCCAGTGGAGTTGATTTTTTTCTGGAGGATCCCATACAGCAAGCAGCAGAAAATACACTTCTCCTGAGTGAGGTATGTTTCATATAAATTTTGTAGGACCATTTAAGGGTACAATTTTCTTCATTGTGGATGCATGTTCAGAATAGCCAAAGATATTTCTAATATCATCAACAACACCCATAGCTACATTGCAATATATGTCTGTGAGAACAGCAGTTCCAGAACAATTGATGACAATATAATTTGCACAATAATGTGTAACTGAGAAATTCAAATACTTCTGAAAAGGAATGAAATCCAACATCAGCAGTGCATCAGCCAGCTATAAACGACTGACCCAAAAGTTGTCCAGATTTTCAAGACTGCTTTGCAACAGAAGTCTGGAGAAAATGTTGTATTGAATCAAAGGTTTTCAGACTTCTTATTCTTTCTATTGCAACACAGTGTATCCAACAACACACAAAAGAAGCATTCAAGACAAACAAGCAAGTTTGTCAAGCTGCAAGTTCAGCAATACTCTCAGGCTGAAAGATGACACTTTTCTATTGCACTGGCAAAAGACTATAAAGAAGAACCAAACTGATCAAAAAAGAACTGGTCTTCTCTCTTGTATCATAGATAGATGATAATATATGGAGACATATTGATGAGCTGGAGATAAGAAATAAGAAACTGTTTACAGAATCAATTGTAATTTCTACTTCTAGAGCAAGGGTGTCAAACACAAGGCTCGAAAGCCAGATCTGGCCCATGGGGTGCTTAAACATGGCCCGTAGGGC